GATTTGTAAGTATAATGGATATTGCATGCCTAAAACCCAAATAGGCCTATATCATTCCCAAAGTCTGTTAACAATTAGATTTTTCTCCAGAGAACATTTATGTTATTAAAATAATGCTATGTATAACATTACTGTTTTATTAATGGCACTGTGACAGGGTTACAATAGTATTCATATTTACCATTTTTGGTACAGTGAAGTAAATTCTTTGCCAATAGAAAATAACTTCATCAATCTTAAGGAAGACAAACTTTAAAAAAAATTCAGATTTGCTTAGAACCAAATTGCTCTTTGCTAATCATTAAAGAATGTCAGCAAGAGGAGAAGAAATTCATATATTACTACCAATATTTATTGAGTCCAAACTTTTTTTTTTTTTTTTTTTTCAAAATTAGAGATGAGGTCTTGCTTTGCTGCCCAGGCTGGTCTTGAACTCCTGGTTTCAAGTGATCCTCCTGCCTCAGCCTCCCAAAGTGCTGGGATTACAGGTGTGAGCTGCTGCACCTGGCTTGAGTGCCAACTTTAAATGAGTTACTTCAGTTAATTTAGGTAACCACCCTATGAGGCAGATTCTGTTATCACATCCCCATATCACAGATGAGAAAACAGGCTCAGAGGGATTAAGTGGTAACAACTGTGAATGAAGATGGATTCAAACTCAGGCTCTTGGATTTTAGACTAGTGGTCCCAGACCCTCCACTACAAGTATGTGATATAAAAATATCTGACAGCGGTATGCATACCACTGGAGGTATGCAGAAAATTTACAGGGATATAAGATAATCAATATCCAGATCTTAATTTCTTATGTGCTATTTCCTAGTGTGTCTTTTCCTACTCCTCCTTTCACATTAAAACTTCTTCTACTCTACACAAGAAATACACAGCCCTCAGCTTCCTAAATCTTACTCTGGTGCACTGCCCAGGGGTAAAAGCCCCAAGAGTGCCAAAATTTCAAAATATTGTTCTCTTCTATAATGGTACAATGGTAACTTTCCTTTAAAAATCTTAGCCACAATTATTCGCTATTTTTAGAGAATTATTATTATTATTATTATTTGAAGAATCTGGTGAGAAAAAAGACAGGGGAGATAAGTCAGAAGTTAAGTGATAGAGGCTGGTCTATAGCTAATTATTCCTAGCCTGAGATGGCCAGGTGGAAATAACCAAGTCAAATCGCCTCGTAAACAAGCAAGGTATATTCTGGTAAAAAGAGAATGGGGAGTCCTTGTCTATGAAATGCTTTTTAGTAGGGTACACCTGCTCTGTCTAGATGGCGTAAGGTAAATAAACCTGGAATAGATGGATATATTAACACATGGAATGGCCCAGTGGAAACTGTCAGTGTCCACCCTACAATCATTTCAGTACAAAATACAGATAGATCCTGACTGAAAGAGCTCCATCTGTTTAAGTGATCACTGCCATAGCTTACTCAGAGACCTCACCTGCTACATATAAGCCAGAGTGTGTTCTAACGAATTTGGGGAAGACCTGGGGAGCTGGGTTAGTGGTTTTGGATACTGCCATTAATTTCTTGTGATGGGATAAAACCTCTGATTCTTGTCGGTCTGATTTGAGAATTAAAGCCTTGTTTTACCTCAGTAAGATATACTAAATGTTAAAAATGGTTTTTTACATGTTTTCAAATATAAGCAATTATTTTCTGCTGATCTCAGGCACCCCTTGGGCCTAAGCAGATCCAAGTTTTGTGATGGTTGCAGCTTTTACAGTTTGGATGGCCTTCTGTAGGAAACAAATAAAAGTGAATAAAAAAATTATGAGTTTTAAAAAGCTGACGACTACTACAGATATCACAAAATCCAGAAAAACAACATAATTCTATCATTCAGGTGCTCAGCACATCCCATAATACTTATCCCTACCTTTCTTGGCTCCATACTCTGATTGCTTCTTCATATGAAAACGATTTTGCAATATATTCCGCAGAGAGAACAGATAATTCAGTTTTTCCTCTAGCATGGTCTATCAAGATTAGCTTTTTAGTATAATTCAGGAAAACTGAGTTCAGCTTCATAATTCAGTATTAAGAGTATCGCAAATTTTCACAATTGTTACCAAATTTGGAAGGACCACGAATATAGGTTTTGCCCAGGTACTGATGAGCAAACCAAATCCTTTGCTGGTACTTTTCCACAAATTAGCTTCCAGCCCCATCCACTTTACACCTTGTTTCTTCCCCTCCCGCATCCTTCTGGTACTGGGCACTGCAGGACACAAACAGAAAGCAATACAACACCTGACCAGTGTCTTTCTATTAGGGTGCTAGGTAATTCTGCAGTCAGTAGTACAAACATTCCTAGACATCAGCACTAGACCACTATGGCCAGTAGTAACTTAACCATACACGGAAGCTACTGTGAGCACAAATATATCTCATAAAACAAAAATTAACCACATTGACTTGATTACCACAGTTTTGTAATAAGTTTTGAAAGTGAAATGTGTCAGTCCTCCAACTTTATTCTTCTTTTTCAAGACCTGTGTGTGTGTGTGCGTGCGGCTATTCTGGGCACTTATATTTCCCTGGATTGTATGAATTTTAGGATCGGCTTGCCAAATTCCGGAAAAAAGTCATTTAGGATTTTGACCCGATTGTTTTGCATCTGTAGGTCCATTCAAGGAGTGCTGCCATCTTCACAATATTAAGTCTTTCAACCCTTTAACATGGTTTGTCTTTCCATTTATTTAGGTCTTTAAGTTCTTTCAGCAATGCTGTATCGTCTTCAGCATATAAGTCTTGCACTTACTAAATTTATTTCTAAGTATTTTATTCTTCTTGATATTATGAATGGAATTTCATTTTTGAAATGTTCATTACTAGTGTATAGAAATACTATTGATTTCTGTACGTAGATCTGTTGTCCTGAATTCTTGATGAACTCATGTATTAGTTCTAACAGTATTGTAGTAAACTCTTCAGGGTTTTGTATACATAGCAATTTTTTGTATAGAAAGTTTACAAGTTTTAAATACATTCATCTTTATGGCTGTTGGAAATTTTTTAAATTGTATTTAAATGTATATACTTTTTAAATGTAAAGAAGTAGAGTAGATGGCTAACAAAAGATTTTCTTTTTTTTTTTTTTTGGTGAGGGTGGGGAGGGACGGGATCTGGCTCTGTTGCCCAAAAAGGGGTGCAGTGGCACAATCTCAGTCACTGTCCCCAGCACAGGTGATCTTCCCACCTGCAACTCTGGAATAATGGGATTACAGGTGCACAGCACCATGCTGGGCTTTTTTGTTTTTTTTTTTTTTGTTTTTTTTTTTTTTGTAGAGACGGGTTTGGTCATGTTGCCCAGGTTGGTCTCAAACTCCTGGGCTCAAGGAATCCTCCTACCTCGGCCTCTGGAGTAGCTGGGACTACAGGCACGAGCCACCAAGCCTGGCCAATATTTGCAAGACTAAAGAAATATGACATTGGGATACAATTTCACAATATGGAATGAAAATATGAGTTCAAGAAGAAAAGAAATGGTGTAAAATTTCCTTCTGTTAAAAGCTTGTTCACATAGTTTTAAAAATTGATGACATTATACATTAAATTGGTATTTAGATTCCACTCGCTACATTTAAAAGTTATATAACTTTTATTTTAAAATGTTAATTTACAATAAAACAGATGTTGCCTCTTTTGCAACTATTTAAGTCAGATGAACAATTTTGATGCTCGACCCCAAAACGTGGAAGGAAGAACACAGTCACAGTCTTTTGGGATTCCTTTGGTGGTATAAAAGCAAAATCATTTTGAAACCATTGTATTAATAAATTAATATATTAATAAAGGTTTTGCCTTTTGGGATGACTTACTGCTACCTTTTTTAGATTTGAGGGAAGTAGCAAATGGCTCCCAGTTTTAAATTTAAAACGCTCTTCCCGTCCAATTGTCCCTATCACTAATTAATCTTGATTGAATTAATCTGATTAATTCATCTGGAATAAGTCACTGAAATCCTTAGGAAAGTCACTTAACTGGTCTTATGGCCAAGCTGGGTGGCTCATGCCTGTAATCCTGGCACTTTGTGAAACCAAAGCAGGCGGATCACTTGAGGTCAGGAGTTCGAGACCAGCCTGACAACTAGAGGTCAAGCGTTGGAGGCCAGCCTGGCCAACATGGGGAAACCCCGACTCTACTAAAAATACAAAAATTAGATGGGAGTGGTGGTGCACGCCTGTAATTCCAGCTTCTCTGGAAGCTGAGGCATGAGAATCACTTGAACCTGGAAGGCAGAGGTTGCAGTGAGCCGAGATCATGCCACTGCACTGCAGCCTGGGCAATAGAGTAAGACTCTGTCACAAAACAAAACACAACAACAACAAAACTGGTCCTAAATGCTCAGGGCAAGTACACACTGCTTTTTCTTTTTTTTTTTTTTTTTCCCCCTAAGGCCGGCCTATTGAGGAGTTACAAGTCTTTCATCTACAATATTTTACTAATTTAAAAACACTTGTCAAGAGAGGTAAAGTATGTTCATCTTGATTTTTCTCTTTTAGCCTTCCATAATCCTAAATGGTATTGGCACAATTACTTTTGTATCCTGGAGTGAGGAATTAACATTTTTATGATAGTGATATTGACTTTTAACACACACAGTCCCCGACACTTAAAACTCATGGTGCAGGCGGGCTTTTGGAAATTATGCTCTGGATACAGAAGTCCCAAAGCTCAGGCTGCAGACATTGAGGGGACAGTCAGCCTTCGTCGTCCCTCGCGCACTGTGCTCAGCGCTCCCTCTTGCGGCTACAAGCGCTCACTGCCCACACTAGCTTCTAGTCTCTCCCAAGGCCTCGGTTACGCAGGGGAGAAAGATATTGCGCAGGCGCAGAACGGCCGACGTGGCCTCAGGGGAGCGTGACTGGGGGTCTGCGCGGAGCCGCTGACCCGCGAGGGTGTCTCTCGCCTGCCGCCCACGCTCCTTTTCTCCCCCTCTAGAGCGTTACGGTGACTGTTCCAAGAGGACGGACGTCCTCCCACGTACCATTTAGAAGGTCAGAGTGGGCAGAACCTAGTCTGAGCAGGCTGGTGACGAGTCGGCTGCTAAGATGCGCGCGTGGGCATCTGCGGCGTGACCGAGGCTGCGGCGGCGGCGCGCTCCGAGCCCCGTGGCGGGAGCGAGGCCGACGGGCGGGGCGGCGCAGTCGCGTGACGGGGAGCGCTCGAGAGCGCGCGGCCTGGAACGTCTCGGTGGTCCCGGAGAGCGCGCGCGCGAGGCCTAGGAAACCTCGGGACCGGTCCTCGGCGAGCCCAGCGGCTACGCGTGTCGGGGAGCTGGAGCTGGCCCGGGCTGTGGCGGCCGCGCGGGGAGCTCCCGAGGCGACGCCCGGGCGCCCGAGGTCTGGAAGGCGCAGGCGGGGCGGCGGGGACTTCACCCCTGCGCGGTCCCCTGGGTGGGCGGCGTGAGCGCCCCAGGCCCCGCGGACCCCGCGGGGAACCCGAGCCGGCGAGGGTCGCGGGACGAGGGCGGAGGTGGCTGGGGCCTCATCGGAGTCTCAGGAAGGGAGCGATTTCGTGAGAGAATAGTTTGAGAAGTTGTTCTGCGTCCCCTCCCCCGCCCCAGTGTCGTGTTTAGGGAACCTTCGGCCTCTCCTCCTTGGACTTTTAGGTTGGAGGGAGTCCCTCCCGCCCGCTTTGCGTCGCGGGGTCCTTTCGGAGCATCGCTATTCATCCTCCTCCCGGCCCCACCCCCGTTGTTTACTTTGGGTTCGCAGATCTCCCAGGTCTTTCGCCCTCCCGCAGCGCCCACTGCAGTGTCCAGGTTCGGTGGCCTTTCTCTGCAAGGAGACCCGCGAACAACTGCAGTTATATTGGGATGGGTTGCGCGTGATTTGACTCTTTACAGAACATCCTTTCATGCTTCCTAGAGATTGAGCTGCGCGGAGGATCCCTCCGACTTGATTGTGGGCCTGAGAAAAGTTTCTCTCGGAACGCGCAGGTTCGTGACGCGGCATATTATTGCGTGACTGTAGGGCTGACCCAGTTTTCCGCTAATTGTAAAAGCAGTACTCTAGTAATCCACTGAGGATCCTCGAGATTGGCTTTATTGTATTATAATTTAACCACTTTGCGTTCCAGGTTGTTATGGCGTTTGATACAGTGGCCTCAGATATTTAAGCATGTAGCAGTTTTTCTTTGAAATTTCCGAAAGTGGGGAAAAAGTAATAGAAGACTGTGCCCAATTACATATGGAACTGTTTTCTGATTCGCGGTTCTTTATAATTGTAGACTCAATTTGATGGGTTTATTGGACCTGTTTGCAACGGGAAGCCTTTCTGTAATGTGGTTTCGGGTCGGCTTCCCCTGTGGCACTCTCTGAAACGTTGTGTGTGGTTTCCCTAACAGGCTAGAATGAGTGGGATGCTACGGAGAGAGTGCATACAGGCAATAGACAAAGACAGCTTTTTTGGTAAAGGGCCAAATAGGCATTAAGTAAACTTCTGCTATCTCTAGGGAGATAAATGCGGTATTATTAAAAACTACTTGTAATGTTGACTGTTAAGCGAAAGTGAAGTGAGAGTGTTACTACTTTCAGTGTTTATGGAATTCAACTAAATTGCTAGGTATTTTGATTGAGAATTTTACCTTTGCTCTTGGGTATTTTTTTTAAGACACACACATACATATAGTTATGTTGAAATAAATGCGTTTTGTTTCTTTTATTAGAACGTTAAAAAATTAGAATTTAGGTGAACTACTGGTATCCAGAAACTGATTTTGGTTTGTTCTCGAAGACTGTTACACTGTTGTAGGTACTGTTTAATACTTCAGATTGTCATTTCAAAGACTTTCTCTTCTCATTGAAATCATGTGATAAGTTTTTATCTTTTCTGGACACTTGACGCTTAATTGTGCTAAGGAATAGAATAGACTTTTTTTTTAAGTCACCATCCTACAATCCTTATTTCTGTAAAATGTATTTTGTGAGACTGGTAAGGAAGAAGTAGCAAATCCCAGTTACAAAATAAAAAATGTGTTGTTTTAATATAAACCTTTTTCTTTCCGTGTTGAAATTCCCCAGAGATTAGACTGAAATTGACCATTAGACTTGCATGTAACCTCTAGATATCCAGGCTGTTCTCCCTGTGTAACCTTTTTCTCTCTTCAAGATGGAGATGAAGCAAGGAAGGTTATTAAGCAACCCTGTGGAATTAGCCCTCCCACTCCACCCTACACACAGGCACACTCTCCTTTCTCAGTAGCCATCTTGTTTCCTGCATTGACACATTGTTTAAGAAATCTTTCATCACACTGTATGTAAAATAAGCTTAGAAATAAAGGTATACCCAAAGTAAATATTGCTTCTAGCTGTATTCCTTCATTATGTCTTGCTTCTACTTTCAAAAGCTACCTATTGAAGACTTAAGCCACATGACTATATACCATGGGTCACTCTGGGCTTTCTTTAACCCTCCCTCACTCTGCTGACTTGAAAACATAGTAGGAGTTTTAGCTTTGGAATCAAATACAGCTTATCTAATTTTCATTTTTCTTTTTTTTTTTTTTTCTTAAAGAGACAAGGTCTTGCTCTGTCACCCAGGCTGGCTGGAGTGCAGTAGTACAATCATAGCTCACTGCAACCTTGAACTTCTGGGCCCAAGCTATCCTCTGGCCTCAGCTTCTGCAGTAGCTGGGATTACAGGCGAGAGCTCATTTAATTTTCTTGACATAATTTTCTGATCCATGAACTGATTTGGGTTTATTATTTACTAGCTTTGTCTTAGGCAAACTGCTCATACTTATAAAACATTTTTAAAATCAAATATCAGCCTCCAAGAGTGAAGATTCGATAACCTTAGAAGGATTCCAGACGCACATAGAGAGAGCTTAACAAAAGATAGTAAATTTTGGTGCTTCCAAGAGCCAGAGACAGACCATGTCCATTATATCTTTGCCATGTATTATAGTATGAGTGGTTTTTAAAGCAGTACTTTTAATTTGCTTGTGAACCCCCAAATAATTTTTGTAAAACTGTCCCTCTTGCACACTTTTGGTTAACTTACAGCATTTTACATCATGCTTTAGTTGAAAAGGATGCGATTTCCCACATGGTATTGATATTGACATTTTAATATAATATTGGTACATCATTCTTTTAACTGTATCCAGTGGAGTATCATATCTTTGTAGTTTTAGATATATCACCATCAATTTTTAAAATACGTTATATTTTACAACTTCCTTTTTTTGCTTTTTTATCACCCCCATCCCACAGAATATTATCTTAAGATAATGTATTTTTATGCTTGAAAGCTTTTTATTAATTTCTGTCATACATGTCTTTGTAATTTGAACTTTTAAAAATTGAACTAAGTTTAAAAATTTTCTTATAATTATATGTTGTAATTTTCTTTTGGATTGAATTATTATTAATAGTAATAGTTGATCAGAATAGCATAAATACCTGATGAATTTTAACGAATAATAATTAAGAGTAGAAGTCTACTGGAAATCTGTGTCTTCATGGAATAGATAGTGGGAGTTATGCCTAAATTAAAGGAGGGTCTTTGAGCCCTTTGACTTATTTTTTGTTAGTAGGGAGGCTTTTCCATACTGGGGCAGTGTATCACAGTAAGAATGGGAGTGGGTGAGAAATATGTCTTTATTTTGTAAAGTGGGAAGATTGTGAAAGGATCTCAGGGAAGAAAAACCAGTATGATAACTGGACAGTGGGCATATTCTCAGGCAGATTAGTTTAGTGAGGAATACTAATGGAAGTAAAGGATCTGGAAGCCTTAGTGTATGTCCCGTGGAAGACTTTATTTGTCCTAGGGGACACACATCCCCCAGTTTGAAGACCATTCAGAGTGGTGATTCTCAGTCAGGGACGATTTTGCTGCCCAAGGTACATTTGGCAATGTCTGGAGACATTTTTGGTTGTCACAGCTGGGGTGGGGGAGGGGTGCTGCTATGGGCATCCAGTGGACAGAGCTCAGGGATGCCACTGACAAAGAATTAATTATCCAACCCAAAATGTCAACCATGCCAAGATTGAGAAACCCTGATTTAGAGAATTTGTTTTGGAATCAGACTATTTAATTCCATAATCTAGTGCAGGGTCAGTAAACTTTTGTTAAGTGCCAGATAGTAAATATTTTAGGCTTTTGGGGGCCATATATGATCTCTGTTGCACATTATTCTTTGTTTTTATAACCTTTAAAAAATGTAAAAGTAATTCTTAACTCCAGGGTCTGTCAAAAAACAGGTGATCTATGGCAATTAATGCTTTCAAACCTCAATTTTCTTCTCTGCAAAGTAGTACTATGGTAATACTACTTCAAGAATTGTTTTTAAGGATTGAGATAAACACCTAGTGTACTGTCCATCATATGTTAAGTGCTCTAAATGATGTGTGGGGATAGTGGTGTCTTACAGTATTTTGGACAAAAGTGGGTGCCAAGTCACAGTGTTGTTCAAGATCCTGTTCAAGTCACTTGGACAAACTTAACGATGGCTGGTGAAGTTCCCAGTCAACTCTCAGAAGCCTATTTAACCTCTGCTGTCTTACTCTGAGTCTCCTTGTATCCTGAAGAAGATGGAATACAAAATACCTGTCCTGTGGTTTCTTTGGAAAAATGTGGCAATCTTATGACACAACAGGATAGCATTCCAGGAAAAGAGATTGTTAATTTTGATAGTGGTGGTGGGGCAGAACAGAAAGGTGGGTTTTTGTATGGTCAGTTGTATATGGTATTTTCTAATTGAGTACTGAATATATTCTGTTGACTACCATGAAGTTGTTGCATGATAAGGCCGACTAGTGGCCTATTTTTCAGGCTGGAAAGTATTGCTATATTATCACTAAATGGAAGCTAGAACACAGCTTCTGTGACATTTCATAGTATAGAGTGCTGCTAAAATAGTCTCATATCACTGTAATTCTCCTATCATAAGTTTTTATGAGATCACAGGAAAAGAATTGCCATGTCTAATAAGAGTAGCCACTAGGTACATTTGGATATTGAGCACTTGCAGTAGGGTTAGTTGGAAGTGAAATACCTTTTGAGTGTAAAACACATATCAAGTTTTGAAGACTTCATACCAAAATAAAACTAAATATTTCACTGAAAGTTTTTATATTAGCTGCATATTGAAATAATATTTTTGATATATTTGGATAAATAAGATACTATCATTGAAATTAATTTCACCTGTTTTTCTTTACCTTTTTAATGTGGTTATTAGAAAATTAAAAATTACATGTGTGGCTTGCATTATATTTCTGTTCGACATAGTTGCTCTAAAGCTTCCATTTACTTTTAAAATATGATAGTAATTAAGTTTTATATCATATACATAGATTTAAGAATTAAATATTTATACAAGACATGCAGTGAAAATCAGAGGTCTCATCACCCAAATCTTACCCCTTCCTCCCCAAGTAAGCTTGTATCACTTTTCTTACCCAATTCTTTTGGTCTTTTTGTACCTCTAAACAGTGCAAATGTATTGGTACTTTTTCAGTTTTAGGCATTGTCCATTAACTTCTCTGTGGCAAAAGTAAAGTTTTATCTCTTTCATCCTTTGTCACATGCACATAAACTTTTTATCCATCCCATCTTTCATCTTTTCAATATGTTTGTATCATATTTTTGTTTATATCGAGATTCATTGTGTTTATTATGACACCAATCAAAACTGAAACATTTAGTACATTATGATTACTTTTTATTTCTTGCTCAGCATCATTTTCTCTAGAGTTGTCTTGATTTTTATTTCCTTAGTTTTTAATTATTACTAATGAAACCCTGAATACTCATGGTTGTGTAGATCTTTTCTCAGAACTTACAGACACATTAGGTATTCTATCAGTTTACTTTCTTAAAGAACTCTTTTCTGTTGTCTCCTACCCCAGCCTGGAGTGTTTGCCTAATTGTTATCTTGGAAACTCATCATCAGTCTTGGGATTCCTTTCATCAGACATGGCATCCAGCAAACAGAGGATGTAATAACT